CCCCCCCCCCTCCCCCCTAAAAAAAAAGATTCCTGGCTACGCCACTCTCCAGAGCAGTGTTGCGGAATGGGCACACCCATTCCATTCCAATTCCATTCCGGGAATTAGATTTTTCAATAATTTAATTCCTTTCAACTCCTAGGAATGGGGACACTGGGCCCATTCCCACTCCTGGAATGGCTGAATCGTTCAATTCCATTCCTCTAATTCCTAAACGTAAAAATTGGCTCTTGACAGCTACATTGTGTTGCAGGGTTGGGCAGAAATACTGAGAAAATGTATTTGGAAATGCAAATACTGGTGTACTTGAGAATTTCCGATACGTATCGGAAATACATTTTAAAAATAGGCAAAAAGTCTTTGGAAATACAAATACAAGAACACATTTTAGGGAGGGTAGAAATACGAATACTGATAATGCAATACATTTCGTCATTCTTGTCCAGCTCGCTTGCCCCTTTGCTTTTAGTTGCATAATAATTATAACATTTTTCAAATTTGTTTAAGACACCAACTAAGGTGAAGTTTGAAGTGGAAGTTTTTTTTATCCCGAAATTTCTTTTCCGCAGGCTTGGCACTTCGCTTTGAGGGTAGCGGTTCCGGACGAAGAGTCTTCAATGGGCTCAATAAACGTTCCATCAAGGATTGACCGCGGTCCCTTCCCTGAAATCCTGTCTGTCTGAGGAGTGATGCGAAAAGACTTCGACCTCTAAATAAATTCTATGTCACCCTAAATTTTATCAAAATACCACCACTCCCCTGCCTAATAAGGGCGCCCCTGTCAACATTGATCACATGACGTCACGGTGGAATCAACAAGTATTTTTGTTTCTGTAGGTGTTGCCTTGAACATGAAACTTTACACACGCTACTGTATGAAAGGACACGTACTTTCGTTGCAGGCAACCTTGTTGAAGATCGTGCAGACAGTGTAATTTGGAATTTTCGAGAATAGTGGACCACCTGAAGCATCCTGGAACACATGTGTCTTATCTTCTGTTACGGTTGAAAAAATCGATACGGTGGCATCCCTGTTGTAACGGTCCTTCCTGCCAACCCTCCGCCTCCAAAACATGGATGGCAGTCCTCAAGTTTTGCCTAGCATCATCCAAACAGAGACCTCGTGGATTGCGACCTGAGATGGCCGGCACAGGTGCCAGCTCTCCGAGAAACAGCGCGCTCGAGACGAGTCGCGACATCGCGACTCGCAGGTGTATGAAGTCTGGGCCACCGTGGTCTGGGCCACCATGGTCTGGGTCGGCACAGCGAGGCCACGTCTGGCCTCTTTCCTGGTTATCGGATCACCATAGCAGCGGGTCACGTCCACGTCGACTGATGACGTACCATTGAGCCGTGCAATACTGCGGGCGCAGATTCATTTGGATATCGGTTGAACTTCACTGCGTGAGTCATCCTATGATTTCAAGTCAACCACCGCCAGGCTCGTGTTGCAGCGGACTGTGACTCAGCTACTCGGCCACAGACCAAGCAATACTTCCTTTGATTTCCTGTTTCTCGGGTCTCTAACTAACTAGCAGCGGGCATCGTATGCCAGTAAACGATAGGAAATTGTAGTAGACCGTTCCAGCAGCCCGCTAAGCACCCGGATAGCGCTCCGTAAACCGCCACAAGACCTTGAACTATGCAGACAAGGCTGGCGGCGCGCATTCGCAGCTGCGGCGTTTTCTTCGGGGATACCGTAGCGGAGGAGAAAAACGATCTACTACAACTACCTAATGACTCACAAAATCCGTACCTTGGGACCTGGGGTAGAAGATGCTCCGACTCAGCTCGCACGCTACCTGTTTCGAGTCCCGACTACGTACGCAACATTTCTCAGAAGAGAAAAATAAGCCCTAATGCTCTCAGAAGTAAAAAAAAAAAAAAAAAAAAAAAAAAAAAAAAAGAAGAAGCGTTTCGATTTGTATTTTGTTCTTCGGGGAAAGGGGGGGGGGGGGGGGGGGGAGTATTAGATTTCTTCAGAAATGCAACGAAATACATTTCATCCTGATTGCATTGCGATAAAAAGAAACATTCCAAATGTATTTCGATACAGGAATACAGATACTGGTGAAAATTTTTTTTTTTTTTGCAATACAGAAACACAGATACGAAATATATTGCTAAAATAAAATGTATCGCGAGACATGCCCAACCTGTTGTTGTCGGATAGGCAGCATAAAGCTGACATTATCAAACGCCTCGACAATTGCAAAAAAAAAAAAGCTAAATGCCTCAAAAAGGCCCCAATTTTACTAAGCACGCTGCTGGATGGCTTGGGATGACTAGTAGTGTCCGCAGTGGTCCATCGCAAGGTGAAACAAGGTATGCAGAAATTGCAGAGACTAAGTTCAAAGGAAATGAGCGGGCATCCGCTAGCTTGCTTGTAACCCTAACCCACTTGAATGTAAAACATATAACACAGAAGACAAGCATCGGAACAAAGGCCAAGTAAAAGGCAGACGACTTTAAAGTGAAAGTGCTGTATAAAAAAACAAGCGTCGGAGCAAGGCGCAAGAGAAGAGAGAAGTGAATCGAATGCCAAAGCAAACCCACATTTCGCACTTCAAAGGAGTGCGCGCGAATGAACGTGGAAGGCAGCAGGGTTGGCCACCTGCTAAACAACGCTCCACGAACTATAAGAAAACAAAAACTGATAATGATCATCTTTCGGCGGCGCCGAGTCAACGAGTTATCAGAGCTCTGCGAGTTATGAGTCGCCTTCCGCTTTTAAATCTCAGCCTGTGCGCGCGCGCGCATCCGCCATGCCGTCGAAAAAAAAAAAAAAAAAAAAAAGCAAGACAAGAAGGACGATGAGGAGCCGTCGCATGAGGGTTTTCTTTCTTTGCCGCTCCCTTCCTTTCTTTTGTTTGGTGCTTGGCTTCTTGTTTCGCTCTCGTGTAACACCAGTGGAGCCCGTCGCCTGCGTGAAAGGCGCCACCGCCACCGCCCCCCCCCCCCCCCCCTCACCTCTTTGCTTGGACGCTTGTTTTTTGTTTTTTGTTTTTCTTTTCATATAAGTTTTTCAGGGTTCCACGCGGACTAGCAGTTCCCCGCTCGAGCAACTGACTCGTTGATTGCCCAGTAGGCTCAGCTTCGGAATTGACCTTCTTCCCCACTTCGTCGCAGAAGAACATAACTGGCTAAGCCACTGCCATGGGCGGAGTATGTTTCTTCGATCTTCCTTTTAACCCATCATAAAGTGAAACTGGAGAGGCGCTCACCGCCCGTCGTTGTAAGCCGCTGGATCGCGCATTCCCGCTTGTTCGCTGCATTGCAAGTACAGCCACCAGACGGCCATCATGCAGGTACCAAATCGGCTTTTTGGAGCGTTGCAGAGGCTGGGCGGCAGCATGCTGATGACAACGTTTTTTGGTAGTTCGGCATCGTTCGTGGAATACGTTGCATAAAACCTTATGTAAACGGCCGTAGTTGCCTTTGAGAATACGGGAAAAGTTTTACGAGAGCCCAGTACCGCAGGAAAAAGGCGCAACTCGTCGAACGCAAGTCCCGCTGGTCTCGCGGCGTTGTCAAAGCTTCAATTGGCACGTCATTGTGCTGCGTCTCTGCACTCTGTGCATTCGCACGCTTGTATATACCGATTGAGAATCGACGCCGTGTGGATAAGTTTTGCGAGTGCAACGTTCGTGAAGACGTTTTACTTTACTCTAGCTGACAACTGTATTCGCCACTCGCGGTCCAGAAACAAGCTCGATCCAGTGCGACGGAAGAAGGGGAGGGGTGTACTGCGGTAGCGACGGCGACAGATTCCACACGACCATATGGGCCGCATTTAAAAATATTTCGATCTCGCCGTTTCATACTTTTGCGTTCGAAAACCTACTTTCCACGGGGTTGCTCTATTTGTGCTGCCATGCGTTTCATTTGAGTAGATTTGGAACATAGCCATGGTTAATAGTGCTTAAAAGCAACCAGCGATTTTTTCCTCTCTTTATTGATGAAAAAAAATGAAAGACGTTTACAACACCTTGTAACGCCGAATTAGAGTGCAGCTCTTGAGGAGGAGGAGAGAAGGGTACTGAGGGGAGGGTATACCCCTCCTTCCTCCTCATCCTCCCCGCTACTCCTTCTCCCCTCCTCCTTCCTCCTTCCTCCTCCACCCCTCTTCCCTTCTCCTCTACCCCCTCCTCCCGCTCCTCCTGTTTCCTCCTCCCGTCCTTCTCCCCCTCCTCCCCTCCCCCTCGTCCTCCTCCCTTTAAGCCTCCCCGCGCGTTGCATCATGGGAAATGTCCCATAATGCACCGCGCGGTTACGCCGACAGCGGCGGCGACGGCGACGCCACTCAAGCCGGAAACGGGCGCCTAAGAGCTGCGCTCTAAAAACTCGCGATCCAGAACTCCGTGGCCGACACATGATACAAAGACATCTACGTGTGACACACCTTCAAGTCTTTGCGACGGCATCTATTCTTTATATGTATCCAGGTTTTGGAAGGCGCAGAGGCACTGTGCCTTCGACGGCACAGTGTCTCTGTTGCATTTCGGCGTACAAAGAAAGCTTTGATCACGCCGCAAGTCCAGTGAGACTTGCGTTCGACGAGTTGTGCGTATTTCCTCCAGTGCTATGCTTTCCTAAAAATTCCCACGTGTTCTCAAAGTCAATTACTACCGTTCGCACAAAGCCTTAAAAAACTTCTTGGCGAATGACGGCGAACAAGCAGAAAACGTGCCTTCCGCACGCTGCCGCCCAACCTCTCCAACGCTCCAAAACGTAGAAACTGTACATGCAAAATGGCCGGCCGGTAGCCGCATTCGCGGAGCAGTGTGGCGCGATCCAGCAATTGTTGTAGAAAGTCAGTGGCTTAAAGGGTATTCAATTTAAAACGTATGCTAGTCGTTTTTCTTGTGGAAATGCTTATTTTTACACGTATGATTTTGATCTTTTTCGTGCTATTGTCAAATATTTCTTTTAAAACGTTTAGAAGATTCCAGATATTTGTGAAGGCAACACTGATTCTGGCTCTTTTTATGTTTGAAGTTGCTATTAGAGACAATCCAATCCATCCGGAATCCGTTTGTGCGAGTGCCACGGTGTCTGTTTCGTTTTTGCAGCCTTCAAATCGTCGAATTTTGGCCGTTTCATCAACAAATCTCGCAAAATGTCATCTCAAAACCAGCCGGACCCACTTTTCGACATCAAGAACGCTTTTTATATCGGAAACTACCAGTATTGCATCACCGAAGCCCAGAAAGGAAAGGTACCGCCGAGTGTATTTGTCCGAGTTCTCGCGTTTCTCTTGTATGACTACTGCATTCATACCAGCGTGTTCGAAAGCTACTCCGTGATTTTGTATTTAACAATGAGAAGTGGCTTTCGTTATTTTTTTGCTTTAAAATCAGCTGTCCGCGTTATTTCTGGTTGTCGGCACGGAACATGCGGCCGCACCTTCCCAGCGACAGTTTGCGGCTTTGCTACGGAAACATCGCTCTCGCTTATCGGTTTGTTCGTAAACTATCGTCTAACCTGACTAACTTCATCATTTATTCGTCAAAAAAAAAAGAAGCAAAGTTGTTGCTTTTTTAGATTTAGTTCTAGCGTGTTTAATGTGGCGAGTTGCGTTTGATGACAGCCAGAACCTATTTCTGTGAAAAAAATCGTAAGGATGCAGGCGAGCTGGTGAATATTAACCATGTTGAATTAACCTGAGACTGGGGTAGAGAAAAAACATCAAACCGTAGAAGGCACAGAAAATAGACAGGACGACGTCTCAATTCTGTGCTCGCAAATAACGCATACGTTGTTGTTGTTATGTCCCTACGCTTGTGGCTGTGGTGTGACGCATTAGCCTATCTTGCTAAACATGGGGCTAGGGTTTACCTTCCTCATTATACACCCAAAAAATACTGAAATGACTGACATCGGTCCAAAAGTCTCGAACCAGAAAAGAAAAAGGAATCGGTATTTTAAAATTTATTTTCTTCACTTCGCAAGGACTACAGAGACGTTTCAGAATGAAATGATGACAAAGCAGCAACAGAGAAGATTGAGTGGTTCATCTAAAAGTTGTTTATTTGGAGTGGCTTTTTGAAAGCCCACATCTTGAGAGCCTATGCCTTTTGGAGGATTTATCGTGTAGCAGTCCCTTCAAAATGAAACGACGCCAAAGTGCACAATTGTGGCATCAAAGTAAACTTTGTGCCCTAGTCAATAGACGAGTCACGAGCCACCTCGATGGCGCCGAGTCAAGGCACCAGCCTACGAGTCCCCACTTGGCGGGTTCGAATCCCGGCCAAGATGCCCGCAATCTGGTGGGGGCTCGTTGCGGAGAAGGCGCTGTGTAACACGGGTTTCGGCTGTGCGTCGGAAGATCCCCAGGTGGTCGAAATCAGACCTCGGTTTTTCACAAGGCATCCTCAAGCAGTTATTTGTGCAAACAGACGAGGGGTAGTTGACAAACGGCACTCTGGCTTAATCCCTGCAGCATGATATGCACTTCAGCGACGACTCGAGGAGGTCTTTTCGGTTTAGAGCAAGCACTCTGATTCTGAACCATAAACTCAAACTTTCGCAGGACTTTGAGTGACACAAACTTGACTTTTGCGTCAATTTGTGCGACAATGATATCTTCAATACCTTGGGAAAAGAAGTCTGTTAAGTACCTAGGACATGATAGAAAGGGTCATAGATTTAATTGCTTTTAAGAAAGGTTGTCTTCTGACTGGTCATGTTTGTTAGACTGATTGCTATATGTTGAGGCTTTATTTTTTCATTCTCAATGTCTGGAGATTCTGTTCCTAGTTTGAATTCCTAACAAAAAGGAGTGCAACGCAAATTTGGGGATATACTCGTGAATGTGCATTTTTTTCAGCGGTGTGGCATGAAATAAATAGTTTTATTATGGTTTTCTCTTTATGATGTTAGAATGTATACGACAGTGAACAAATTGTAGTTGTTGACTGTCACGCAAAAACTGTTAATTTGTTTCTTTTATTGAACAAAGCATCTTTTTTTATAGGTGTTGAAAAATTGGCCAATAATCTCCCCATCAATATTTGAATGCAAACGTTTTAAATATATTAATGAAAATAAGTGACAAAAAAAAACGCTTTGCATTTCCAAAAAAACATGAACACAAAATATGAAAACTTTGTTAGCTTTGTTCGTGTATTTTGTGTTGTGTCACCTCTGAATTCCGTTCAATCCCTTTCTGCCCCGGATCTCTTGCCCATTGCTGGAGTCTTGCATCTGAGAATGAAAACACGAGCATCACCTTGGTGAATGAATGGGTGAATCGATAAACACATCCAAACTTTTTGAACCGGGTGGCAGGTTGCGCCACCTATCCAGTGTTTCATTTCTGCCATTCTCCCTGCACATGCTCTCATTCCCTTCATTCACTAGATGCTGTTCCAAGGCACTGGAAATGCAGATTGACTGATGCTCACATGTTTTCGGTTTTCTTGAAGACTACTGCGCTCTCTATACTTGCCTTGTGCACATTGTTCATGCTCATCACACTGAAGCTGTCGAACTTTGTGCTTTTTAAGACAATTTCCATAGTGGTACGGGGATGTTCCACCGCTTGCGTGGGACATCACTCTAGACTAGTTGCAGTTATTCTTGCTTATTGCTTGCTTCGAAGTAGTATCCCTAGTGTGTAAAATTGATATGGCAGATTGCGACACATTGGCCAACAGAGTCCCATCCTTAAACGCTATTCCTAAAAGATGACAGTGTGTTACACCAAGCAACATCCATGCTAGTCACGTGGTTGGAAGGCTTGCTGTGTCAGAAATCAATTCCTATGTTCCTAAACTTTGTAAAGTATGAATCTGAGTTCTTTTCTTTTTTCTTGACTTTCCAGAACACGAGCCCGGAGGTGAAGCTGGAGAAGGACATTTTCCTGTACCGCGCATACATCGCTCAGCGCAAGTATGGCGTGGTCCTGGACGAAATACGGTCCATGGCGGCAGAGGAACTGCGCTGTATACGGCTGTTGGCCGACTACCTTTCAGGAGACCGAGCGCGCAAGTAAGGGCACTGGCCACTTCGTCTTCTTTTTTTTTTTTTTTTCTATCGCGTAATGACTAGAGTTTTCAGACAACAGTTTATATTTTGTGTTGTGTTGTTCATTATCCTATTTCTCAAGTTTCATGGTTTAGATTATGATATTTCCTAATCAGCTGGCGTGCATACTTTTTTTTAGGTTTTAGATTATGATGTTTCTTAACCCCTTAACTGGAAACTTCCTTGACCTAAACAAATATGAGCGAAATGGGAGATTTTCTGTCCCAATTTTGTCAATATTTTTTGGTACCGCACGTATCTCGTCAAACTCATTTGTGCTGCCATCTATGCATTGGTTTCTAAAGGAAAGTTTTCCCCCATGTTCAGGGATAAATGGCACTTCCTCCTGTGTGGTGAAAAGGGTGCGCATTTAAAGACTCCCATCCCAAGCTGCAGTCAAAATTGTTGCGCGTCTGAAGACGCGCTCCCCAGCCAGAGGTTTAATCAGCTGGCATGCACACCTTCGCCTCTTGCGAAAGCTGTTGCTTTACCGCGATAAAGCGCGAAACACATGTACGACGAAACCTTCCGATCCGACGTGCGGACTGCCGGAATGACCTTGGGGGGAGAGGGTTTTCGTAGCATCGGAGAGCGTTGAAAACCCTCGCCCCCGACCGTCGTATTGCGTGGTCGGACGTCGGATTCGACGGTTTCATCGTACATGTGTTTCGCGCTTTAATCGACGTAGTTATAAGGTGTCGGTCACCGTCCAATGCTCGAAAAAGAAAATCCCAAAGCCTGCTGTGGCTTGACCAGGACGCGTCGTAACATTGGCGGCGAAGCGAGCGCGCTACCGCAGAGCCACGCCAGTTACTTCGACGCACCGCCCAATGAACTGCACGTGTTAGGACGGCTGCGCACACGTACGATTCTCAAAGATCGTTCACCAGACTGCCGCAGTGGTCGTGGCGGCGCATTACGCCCCTCGAGGGTCGCGCTGCGTCCGTCGAGCCGCAGTCGCGCTGCCCGTGTGTCGTACAAAAGACGCAGTGCACGCTGCAGACACAATGGCAGAATGGTCTACGGACGACGAACCTCAGGCACGTTCGAAGCCCGTCTGCTTCATTACATGTAGGCCTGTGTCTAAAGACTGTCTCTTTATAGCCAATGTTACTGGACCGTCGTTTTAGGAAGGAACACGTCCTATTCAGCCCCTGCACACTGTCTTTTGTGCAATGTTTTAGCGGCTAGACTGCAAATAAAAGCGTCGAAATACACGAGTGCGTCACCCTCCGAGCGGACATTGACGACGGCTCCTCCACTTAAAGTGCCGACCGCGGCGTAGGATGCATTAGGGTCCGATAAGGTTTCGTTGTGACCGCTGTGGATCCACACAAGGCTGATAATTTTTTTACAGTGAAGCTTTTTATGGCTAGGATTTTGTGGTTTTTTCGTGTGCGTGACCAAAACTTCTATGCTCGCACCGTCGCACGCGCACGCCTTCCCCGTACGGAAGATTCGAAGTAAATAATCAAAGTGAGGCGAGGACGAACGTGCGTGATGCCATTTGTTTTAGGCTTTTGCTTTAGAACAGTCACTGTTGCAGACGCCAGCGTGTGCAGCACGTGGAACACCATTCCCTGCATTCTCCTTGGTGCTTGAAAAATTTAGCAATAGGTCTGTTCGGTAGGTTAGTTATCAATAGGCACCATTTTCAAGATCAGTAGATTCTCGGGTTGATAATAAGGGTCTCTCAAAGATTTGCCGCCGTGCAACCCACGTCGGCCACGTTTACGCTCGCACCGCCCTCTCTTTGTCGTCGTTCCAAGCGCTTGCGTGCCTAGTTTCCTTTCCTCTCACTCTCCTGGGGTGGCGTTCCCGTCGCACGTGTCTACTTTCCGCCGGGTGGCAGTTCCGTCTGTCGCGAGTGTCTAGTTTTCTCGGGCTCTTTGGGGCGGGTCTGTGTCGTGTGTTAAACAGCTTCGCTGGCCATCCCCCTTCGCAGAGTAAAATTGTTCATGATATTTTTTTCTTTCTTTTTTTTTTTTAAGATGCTGGTATGCAAGGATGTGATTGTTCCCAATAACAAAAACATGTTTACGCTCGCTCAGTCACTTTTTCGAGTTGAGCGGTCGCCCGCTTTCTTTCAAGCGTCGTCCGCTTTCTTTCAAGCGTCGTCCGAGTCGCTCTAATTCTCGTTGCACCTCCCTCCGGCCAGGGACCAAGTGGCGAGGGAGCTGGACCAGAGCATGGCAAAGAGCATGGACGTCAACAACGTGATCCTTCCCCTCGTCGCAGCCACCATATACTATCACGAGCAGGTACGTTTGCCCGTTGTAGTCGCCCGTAACAGAGGCTGGACCCAAACTTCGTACGGAGCCTCCAAGAAATTGCGGCTCTCTAAACCTGGGGTATTGAGCCCGCGGCCCGTGGGCCGCGTCCTAGCGAGCCCCCGTTCCCACGTCTCGAGTGCTAGACATGGCACGCGCCGTAGTGATCTCAAGCTGCCAATTCATTTCCGCTTGAAATGTGGCTCTACTCTCACAACCTATTCCCACAGTTTACGTTATTCCGGTTTAAATTGCCTGGTGCTCTGTTTTTATTTTTACTTTCCAGCTTTCTGTCACTTTAATTCTAGTAGCGGAGTATGACAACTCCGCTACTGGGCTGCAAGCACGAGCTCTTTGCTCCAAGACACACCTCGACTGCACCAACTCTCGCTCGGCGGATGCAACTACCGAAGATAAAGCTACGAGCTCGGGATTCGTCCAGAGAGCAAGATCTGTCGTACTAAGAGATTTTTGTTTCTTAGAGGCACGTGGAGCTCGATTAATTCCCAAGTGAATTGAGCGTCAGGAATGACGGTGTGCTTCGTCTCTTGTTGTATGAAAAAATGGCTGCACGTTAGTGAGGCGATGCCATTTTAACTCGTTATCACGTTAGGTAAGGGCCTAAAGTAAAGTCATATAAACAAATTAAAGCTAAAGATGTCACTGGTGAAACTGGGAGTTTATAAAAGGCAGAAAGTATGAGGTCCCTTCTCTGTAACACCTTTTGGGTTAGCATGAACCACGGCATTGGTGCGTTTCCACTGTATACTGGCATGTACGGGTTTGCATCCGACACCGAATTTTGTTGCCTACTGTAATATGTGGATGCATTGTCCTCCACTCCAGCAACTGGAAGTCATCAAAAAAGTGGGAACGGTCAGTTTTTCGGTGTCTACGTTTCGGAAAAAGTTGGGAACTATTTGGAGTCCTTTGTGCCGCAAGTACTCGTGAAATTAAGACTGCTGCTCGAAATCAGCTGTCGTTTCGTCACTAGTGCATGCATGACAAGGAGCGACAGTGTTTTTCGCATTCTCGCGTGACCGAAAGGCGGACGTGACGGCTTCTGAAAATTTAAGTGAGCGCATTTCGTTTAGGAACACTTGTGACAGACAGAAGTGGCAAGCTTTTGCATCATCTTGTATGGTACGTGCGTGCGACGAAAATGGATGCCTGCATTCCTGCGGCGGCAGGATTAATGTACGGTCGAAGCCTACGAAAGCACTGGGCATGAAGAAGTTGGGATGTCTCATTCGTGTTTGTGCGTGGTGTCTGAGCAAATTCAATCGTCGTCTGCTCAAAAAAAAAAAAAAAAAAAAGCTTTATCATGCAAGGTTTATGGTGTCCTTGCAGTGCAGCAAGATTTTCAGACAGTGTCAACTGCAGCTTAAATGGGGCACACATTGGAGTAACGTATCCTGAACTGCAGAGATTAACTGGCAGTTGTTTGTAAACAAGATGGAGCTTCTTTCTCTTATCTCCTTTCTCTTTCCTTTATCGCGGATGTCCTCCAACATAGCCTGTGGTAGCAACAGTCCGGGAGTATGAGCGTTTGTCGACCTCGCAGTCTGTGGTTTGGGCTTTGGCGGAGTGTGGTAATGTTCCGGAATTCTTTGGGCAGAGATGGTCTTGCCTCTATTTACAAAGCTACGAAAGCCTCTGTGCTCTTCTAGCCGTTCTTCTACTAGCGTTGGCTGGACTCTGCTAGAAGAATGAACTGGAAATGAGGTTTTCGAAAAGAATGTCTGGTGTAGCCTTTGAAATGAAATGGTTGTTTCACTTTGAAGTTACACCTTTTCAAGTGGTGCGTCTATTTAAAATCTTACCTATTGCTTCAAGGGTGTGCAGTGCAGCTCTTCGTGTTCTGTTCCCAAGGTGACTCACGATGTATTCCTAGCGAAATATAATATGTCAAATTGTCCCAAAGTGTAAAGTCTGAAATTAGAACTTATTTTGCACAGTTGAGTGTCCCTGACAAGGTATGAATGCCACGTGGTTTACGAGCCTAAATCTAAAATTGGAATTAAATTTACATGTCGTACTCGGTTTGCCCATTATAGCGGCAAAAAAAGTAAGTCGTACAAAAAATACCAATTCTAAACAAACTTGGGGCTTTTAGTGTTTTGTGGTGCACTGTTTTGAAGCTGATAATAACCTTATTCTCTTCTATAACTTCCAGAACTATGAGGCTGCCTTGCGAGTTCTCCACCAGACGGATTCTCTCGAGTGGTTAGTGTCATTTAAAGCATATCATCAGCATAGTGCATGGCAGTAACAAAACTAAAATTGAAGTGAAAAAAAAAAATATATTTTAAACCTTTTTATTGTGTGGTTTTTTAACACAAGATGTGTTCTAGGACGACTTTCTAAACCTAGAGTGTCGCAAACATAACGAAAGTATAACACGGACAGTTTTTTTACAGAAGTCTGCGTCTCTCAGAGGGAACCCTCTCTCTACCCAGTGCTAGTGGAGCGGCTATGGTATTCATGGTTATAGTTGCCATGTACTCGTGTTGCCACAGAAACATTGTTGCCCAAATGAGCCCAGCCTGCTTCTCTGTACCTGGCCAAACGCTATTTTCTCTCTTCCGGCGTCTTCTTGGCACGAAAAAAACACAGAGCTTCAGTGTCTTCAGTCCCCTTTCTCTTGCAAACACTTCCAGCAAGCGTACGACTTAAATGCTGATAATAATAGCTCTATATCCACCATGCAAGTGTGATGGAAGATAAGGAAAGAAAGCTGTCCAAGCAACTTGTGCTCCTCAGCCCCCTCAAGCACAAAAGAGTAATGAGAAAAAAAAAATAGAATGAACGCAGAAATTATACTGTAATATGAGGTACTACTGCCATCATGAAAACGACGACATAATCAGCAAGAATGCAGTGGACAACAGTGACATTTGCCCACATTAAGATGAAATAATTGGAAAGCTGAGCGCAAGAAAGGATAAAAAAGGTGATTCAACAAAATTATTTTTAACATATGTCAGTAGCTCAGGATTACATTTAAAAAAGTCGTGCTTTCACGCTGTACGAAGTTCACCGTACAGTCGAATCTCGTTAATTTGTATTCGAGGGGGATCGAAAATTTCTTTGAATACAGAATAGAGACTCAGATGGCACCTGCATGTTAGTTTGAATTATCCGCAAGTTTGAATTAAGAGAGTTTAAATTAACAAGATTCTACTGTATCTGTGAGCCTTACCTGTCAAAATTAACAAGATGATTGCAATTTAATAGAGATAATAATGAATACCGGAAGCATTCTTTCCCGGAGTTTCTTCGAGTTGTGGGTTTTATCCAGTTCTCTCTAGGTGTTGTAGAGTAACTAAAACTTTTTATTTTGCAGTTCTGCCAAAAATGTGACTCCTTGCGTTCAGTTGTGCCTCAGCTTCACTACTCCTCGTGCGGCTTGCATGTATCGTGGTGTTCGGTTTGCGAAACAATGTAATAAGGTTAGATTTATTAATCATTGCGTCGCAAGTTCCCCCTTGGTGCGGTGTGGTTGAGCGCTTGGCTCACATACCGGGGGTGCTTGGTTCGATTCCTGTCGAGGGACATGCAGAATTGTGTTCTTTCTTCTCAGTTCATCTACTTCTCACTCTTCCGCGCATGAGCATTCGTTTCGTGGTACAACTCTTAATTTTCCCTGGGGGGGCTGCCGAAAGAAATGCTGTCGCATTTGATATACCTGGCTATGCCTCTGATGCAGTGGTGTCGCACTATGTAAGGTCACGATGCCTTGTCACGATGCCTTGTAACGTCACCTCATAGCCACGTGACATCATTTCACGTGGTCACATTACGTCATAAGGTGTAATCAACTGGCTCATTGTTGCTTGCATCATCCATGTGACTATATTGTCGAGATTGGTTATAACGAAGTCATTGGGAATCGCAAATCACTTCGCTATATCCGCTATTTCGTTATAGCTGACTTCGTTATAACCGGTCTCGACAGTGGTGAGACTTCTCACGTAATCATCTGACCCATAGTGACCGATGACGTAGTAGATCATGCGACCTCACGTAGGGAATCGCCGGCTGCGGCTCTTAACAGCTAAAATGATAGTGCTAAAACTTGGGTGAGCAACAGTTCGGCTAAATGTCGTTCTTCCCCTTGGCCGTCTAATCTCGCTGATTTGATGACGTCAACTTCTGTGCGCAGTGCCGCGCTCACTCTGCAGTGCCTCCTGAAATTGGACAGACTGGATTTGGCCAGGTGAGTGTTTGCCATGTCTGAGCTTGTAGTGAGCTCTCACTCTGCAAAATATTTTGAATAAGAAAATGGCGATCTCGAATTCAGAGTACCGGACTGGATAAAGTGTCTTAAGTTTATTCCGATTGTTTATACATGTCTCAGCGGTACCTCCAACAATATTGACTGAACGATAATCGAAAGGAACGATTCATAGCCTCGGAAGTTGAGTGATCAATCAATCCACTGATCGTACTAGCATTTAAAATATGCGAGCCAAGAGAGTTAGCCTTTGCTGACCATAGCAGTTCGGGGTTATCAGTCTGTTTCTAACTCCTAGTGCTTGCCACATTTTAGTCTTTGTTGGGAAGAAATCAAAGGTATCGTAGCAAGTTTCAGAGGAAGATTATTCTTTTGAGTGCAAAGGATCTTAGCAAAGCTCATAAATTTAAGATTGACAATCTTGAGGCTTTATTTTTTATTCTGTTGTGTTATGACTTGCGTACTGTTCTGTGCGACCAGCACTTGTCATCTCACATCTGTTGTCATTCGGGGTTTCGCTAGTTGTCCTTCTTTGTTTTTTACTACTTGATTAGTTAGGGCTTTTAACAACCAAAATCAAGGAAAACCTGACATTGGTGTGAAACTTAGTCAGCCTATGGAAGTGTGTGTACTGTCAGATGGTAAGGTCGAAACGTAGCCCTAGATAAATTATGAAGGCCATTGAGTGCTGGTAGGTCGCAGTTAAAAAGGAACCCCCCCCGCAAGCCTCGCAGCAGCATCTGCCATTTTGCCAGTAGACGCTTTTCGAGATTCAGCCTGTCCACCTGAATAGCCATCATCATCTAAGAGTATATCATCTGTACATGCGAATATCTGTACATGCTAATGGCTGCAGTTTGATGGCCGATGAAGGAAGAATTTGAAGGTACGCTACAGACGTTATCCCGTCGTTTTCTTGTTCGATGTCAGCATGGCGAGGCTCTTATGCGTCACGCATTTGAGGGTGTCACGTGAATCATTAGAATGATCGATTTCAGCACTTCCCAGACTGCTCATGACAATAAAGCGTAAATATTATCGCGAGATTTGCTCAAGTAAGAGCCTCGTGCATAGTGGTAGTTTTTTGGCACCATTGAGGCCGAAAAAAAATAGAGAAAGCACTGTACTGCAAAGAGCACCCTAACCTTTGTTTATCTGCCGTTGACGAATGGCTGTTAGATTTTACCTGCCATTCGCATACAAAATTTCGACAGAATATTTGAAAGGGTCTATACCCCTCTTCTGAGGGGCATTAAAATATACCGAAATAAATAAATAGTACTCTACTATGTTAGCTCTCCGAGTGCCATGCCCAAGTGAACACGGACGCACTCCCTTGTGCTTACAGTTTCTGTTTGCGTTCTGCCACTCTTAAACTGGGCTATAATTTTTCTTTTACATGTGGTGCCATGCATAACCAGGCAATAAAGGCAGTGTTTTATTTTGTGGTGTCGCTTTTTGACGGCACACAAACGTGACTGTTTACACGCTTTTGGTTTTGGTACGCCTCCTAGTTGCAGGACGACTAATCTATGTTGTTCAACCTCTCGCTTCATGTCGAATGCCGAGATCTAGAAACTACTAATTAGCTCTGAACTAGATTACTGAAAAAACAGAAAAGTTACTGTTTCAACAAAAACAAAAAAACGTAACGTCGAGCAAGGCCCTTAGAAAGAATGGCCTCGAGGCACAAGGTCAAGGTGCCACTGCAGGCTGCCATATCTCGAAAAGTGTCTTAGGTTGGAATCATACAGATCTCAATTAACTTTTTGCCCATAGAACAATGTATCATTGATAAATGAATATTTTTTGACAAAGCATGCTACAGCATTACATGCATACAGAAAGAAAACCAAAAAAACAGCACTTCAAGGGTTAATGTGAAAACTTGTTGCTTGTGCAAGTGTGTGTGCGTAAAACTGGGACTTGCGTTACAGGAAGGAGTTGAAGCGGATGCAGGAGAAAGACGACGACGCTACGCTGACGCAGCTGGCACAGGCTTGGGTCAACTTGTACATTGTGAGCCACCCTGTTCTTCTTCAAACGCTTCTTCGAAAAAAAAAAAAAAATTTAGAGGTGAATTTGAATATCACGTTCGTTTTCCTGGAAGATGTAGCTAAACTCGGAAAACCTCCGACCAGGCGTGATGTTATACGAGGATAGTTGGGCCGCCAGCGCGTGTCACTCGTGTGGGTAGCTCGGGCAATTACAGGCTTGCCAGGTGTATTTCCCCATGCTGACACCATTCGTGATGTCTTTTTCTGACCTTTTTGAAAATGTCAAGAGTGCACGTGCATAGCTTTGACAGGCGCCGATGATGCGCGAGAGTGAAGATTCCGAAAACTCCCGATGTGACGTCACGTTCCCGGGAAAGAGGGGCTTCAGTGATACTTTGAAAATTAATTTCAGTAGCCTTCGTGCACCAAATTGAAAAATAATCTCAGTATTCGTGATTCTGGAAGCCAATTGAAGACTATTTTGGTGTTTTTCCTCTAGTACAGAACCCAATGTTTCCCTTTAAGGGAGGACGTGGGGAATGATTATGAACTTTCTTATTTCTAGAGGTATCTGAGCGATATTTACTGGGTGTGCTTATAACACAGACATAAGAGTAACTAAAGTTTCATAGATCTTTGAATATTATTTCTTAAGTTATAATATTTATCAAAATCATCCATATCCACCTTATCCAAGACCTGCAGAATTTGAAAAGGTAGTAAAAAGGTAGTGGCAGTATACAATTCGTTATGGTGACCCCCCAAATAGGATCCTCAGGGCATAAAAGAGCCTTTTTATTTCTTTGTCTCGATCTTTTATCATAAATTTATGACACAGTTTTCTAAGAAGAGGGCTCTGTTATGCCCTCGCAAAGTTATATAGGAGCCGAATAAAAAAATACAGTATGAAAATTCATTGAGCAGTTCATGAGATATCGCTGGGACGAGCAGCCACGGCAGTGAAAGAATCCATTCTGAGAAAACAGCATTTGAAAGTTGTACACAGATTTTCGGCTTTAGCACGACCCTGCAGAGTGGTCCGAAGTGTCCTTGCGCACTTTCTTCTTTTCCCACCTATCCAACTCCTCTGGATGTCGTTTGCTGGCCTTGCACAGACGTAGGGCATTTTTTTTCAGCAGCTCGCTGGAGGACTAGATGGGCCGACTGGAGTCCCACTGCGACCGAGATTTGTACCATTGCCCCATAGCAGCCAGCGTTGAACCTCAACACCGCTTCATGCACTGCAGTTTTGACAGCGATCAGCGACGCATGCTGTTCCTTAGTCATCAGAGACTACAGAACCAAGTGGAAAGACTCAGATGCATTCTGTGTTTTTGCTCCCAAGCAGCTTCGAAGCAGAGAAACCTGCGACAGGCGTTGGTAAACAAGCAGCATAGCCATAGCGACATAGCCTGGGAGTTTGTGCTTGTGCTGGGGCTGTGGCTCACCTTTTGCCTCGGCAACTCTATGACGGCACCATGCTTGAGCTCCCTCTGGGCAGAGTTCATGGTGAGGCTCCTGGTCAGTCGTCGTGACACGATGGTAGGTGGCCATAGCAGCACGCCGCATCGCTGCCACATCCTTGGAGTTTTTCCCGGAGGGCGCAGCAATAGTAGTCGGTGAGCTTGTTGATGAGGGCCTTCATCAACCTGCCCTTACCGCTCGACAGCTTGTCGCTCTTCTGGACGAGGTTGCGCAGTGCCGTTCCCATCCTCTTTTCGACATGGCTCAAACACTTTTCTTTCTCGAAGGGGACTAGCTCATGGACGTTATCTTCTGTAAGGGCAGAGAAGGTCCTGCTGTCCTTGTCGGATACGAGTGCCGTTTACTGCAGGCTGGCTTGGAGACAGAGCGCTTGAAGAGGGTTGGGGCTGCCTTGACCTCCATCCTACCGGATTTGGCGTCTGTGTTTTCCTGGCAGACATGATGCATGCGTCACCTGTCATACCTTTGATCTCCAGGTTTGAGTGCTGTTTAGCACCCAAGGCGGAGGTTGGATAAAACCTTGGCGTTTAAGATGAGGCCTGTGTGGTATTTTGGGATTGACCCGACTCCAATTTGAGATGTGTGCCCTCTCTTGTGCCATGTGCCGTTGTACACCACAGTGATATCCTTGCAGAACCCCGGGTTCATCTTCTGACAGGCTGCCTTCACCGCAAAAGCTGACTCAGCATAAAACTTGTCCATGGACAGCTCCTTTCGCTGTCTGAAGATCTTTTTCAGGTGCTCCTGAAACGTCTTGTGGTGGAAACCTCTGTGGGAGACGTTCATAGCTGCCCAAAAGTCATTGAAAGCTGCCTGCCCCTTTCCTATCTACTTGATCGCCATGATGGAGTCAATGTTGACTTCGGAGGCCCTCGAGTCTTGTTGGCGTGGTGAAGTCCAGGAACTTGAAAGAATGACACGATGGAGGCTTTAGACCTTGAGCTCTGCTGAAAGTCCGAGTTTGGTGCCTTCTTGAACAGTCCGTCCAGTTCCCGAGCAATGCTTGCACACTGTGCAGCAGAGCAAGTTGCTCAAAACATCTATCTGAACGAGGCAGAACTTTGCACATTCGCTCGTGCAGAGGCAGGTGTGGGATTGGGCAGCGTGGCTTCAAACTTCCTCTGGGTTGCTGGCACAGCTCCAAGTTCGGCTTGAGCAATATCACGACGTTTAGATCCTGCTTTGATCTCCTCGCGCGTCAGGAAATGCGTCCGCACATGGGTGCTGGACGACACGTTTCCACTCAGTGCGGCAGGTAAAAGACCGGCGCTGGGACCCGCAATCTGTGGTAGAACCATGACGGTCAACACTCTCAATACTCCGTGTGTGAGCGGGGCGATGCATTCTTTCTCGGCAAGAGCTGATGGCACAGGAATTCCATCACTGGCAACATTGACTTAATCACCATGGACGGCACGCTGTGCAGATACTTCCAGCTTCACCGTCCGCAGTAACTTCGTGGGCCAGTTCCGCACGCCGAATGCTCGCACCGTCTTGTACTTGGAACCTCGCATCATGTGCGACCACAGAGCAGACGGGCACGCTACATGAAACTACAGTGGACTCCTATTAAACGAAACTCGCTTAAACAGAAAATTCGGATAAACGGTACTCTAAAGGTTGTTTCGGTTGGTTTCTATGTATTTAATGATAAATTCTTCGGGTAATCGGAACCCCCTTTTTTGCTAACTTCGGTTAAACGGGACCGAAACTACCCATGGCGACCGCGGACATCGGAAATCGCTACAGCAGTCTCACAACCATGGAGTACGCAATAGCCAAGACGGAGGACACTTTAAAAGGGAAAGGGGTTGTGTTAGAGCAAAATTTATATGAATATTAAAAAAAAAGGGATGACAAAATGTTAGGCTAGGTGATGCAAGGTGCCGCTCGTTACAAAGGGTACAGCCATTGACTCCATTAGTGTGACGTCATGGGTCCAAACAAACCGTTGCTAGGGCCGTTGTTATGGACAAATACATGTGGCTAGGTTTCACTACGAAAACCCGACCGGTCAAAAATCGGGAGTAGGATTTAAACTTCTAAAAGTCACAGATACAGAGAGCTTGAATGTCATATGTGTTTTGACAGAAGTGTGCCGGTAATCGCTTGTTTCTGAAATATTCACGACTGCAACTTTCGGTCGTCCCGATGCCTGCAGCAGACGATGAATGCAAGAAGTATGCCGTCTGCCACATGTCGTTTGGATCATGTGAATAAAGACAGTATTCTGATATTGCACTTGTTTGAAATATAATGAGTTTCAGACACTTATAAGAATTCATAGTGGGGTGCGAGGCGAAATATGGTTTATCGAAATTTTGGGCGTCGATTAAGATGATCGTCCGCTAAAAGATCTCGGTGCACCTGTGAGAAAAGCACTTTGCGCGATCCGTCGGGATCCCAAATTTTGTTTATGGACTCGCGCTATTGGAGGGTGCGTCGCACCTGGAGCGATGGTTACTGAAAGATTGCGATAGAATCGAATTCTTGAATATAACCTGACAACCTTAATATTAATAATAATAAACTAATTGCCTTGACGGCATTCGATTTGTTTCTCATACTGGCCTACACTGCGCCGGTAACGCACTTCAGGTCGTCATCCTAGATGATCTGCATGACATGGTTTGCTTTTACGGCATTTTCACCCCTCTGAACTAAGCTGGGTTCTTCACAGAAAAAAAAAAAAAAAAAAAACGCACATTGCGGAGGTTTCTACGGCCACGGAAATGCACTTGTTTTTGTCGCTTGTTTACCGATGCCATTCAATAAGACGCCGACTGTAACAGAGGCCAGCAAATCTATCGTGTCGCTGCTACCAAAGCAAAGCGGAGTGTAATACTTCAGAAATGGCTTTCATTGTTGCAATATTTATTTATTTATTTATTTATTTATTTTTATTTATTTACATACCCTCAAGGCCCTGGGGGCGTTACAGAGGGGAGCGAGTGAAAAAAAAAAACAACAAACAGTAATAGAAGACATGGAATAGGTCACAGGTCACTTTCGCAAAAATAATTAGTAACAGCACTTTTAAACACATCTAACGAGGGTAATAATATTAATGACGCCGGAAGGTGGTTCCACTCTGGTGATGTCCTAGGAATGAAAGATTCGTGATAGGCTGATGTTCGAGAATGAGGAATGCCGACCTTGTACTGATGATCAATGCGTGGAGAAACGTAAGGTGGGACGAGGAAGAGCTTTTCTTTAAGAATGGGGTTAGAATTATATATTTTATAGAAAAGACATAGACGAGAACACTTACGGCGCAAAGAAAGCAGTGGCAAGGAGAGAAGAGATTTCATGGATGATACACTAGCTGTACGGTGATAATTGTTAAGTATGAAACGAGCGCCGCGGTTCTGAACTGACTCGAGATGAGAAGTGAGCGTCGTCTGACCAGGATCCCAGATTGAAGCTGCATACTCTAATTTTGAGCGAACCAAAGATTTGAATAATATTAGTTTGAGAGAAACTGGTGCTAGAGAAAAGTTACGTTTTAGGTAGCCTAACATAGAATTGGCATTAGCA